TTTCATTGCTATTATAGTAATACTGATATATATTACTTAACTTTTAGCTACTTTGTTATAAAAACAGGGGACTTTTTCCGTGGGAATGGTTTTCGGATGGTCGAACGCACTTTAAGCGCTGTTGTCAATGTGTTTCACAATCATGTTTGGGTGGTAGCGCTTCACAGGCGTTCTTGGAAGCAGCTTTCTTGTGTATAAATTAAGTATATGAACATATCACTGACCAGCAATGGACACTTTGACACGTCGACGTAACCTAGGCACAACATCCCTGATGATTTGTGAAGTTTTCCGTTCGCCTTTCGCCATATGGAAGAGTTTGGCTAGCTCTGGATCCGTCCGCTTCTTATCAATCATTTTCGTGCACTCCTCTGTTAGCGCTCTAAACAAGACTTGATAACGCATACTGCTAATTATGGTGAGAGCAACACTGCATCTGATTTGTCAAAAAGCTATTCCTTAGGGTTAACAACTTCTCTTCCTTATGAATAATAATTGTTGTTCCTTCCAGCTTTTTCATTTACGCTGAGTTTCTGATGTGAAACGGAAATCACTAGTTAGAGTTTGCCTTGAAAAGTTCTCGCACTAAAATTGGACAGCTCACGTGGGATTCCTGTATTAGTAATTGACCTTCCCGCGGATACCGCACTAAAATACGACGCTTGACCTTTCTTGCTTCGATCGGTATGGATTGGAATGGAAAAAAGTGTTTTATTTGTTGAGCAGCTCATGTTCGTTTCCTTAACAGCTCCCGTCAATTTTTCTGTTTATTGGAGCTCGTGACATAGCATTCATTTTTGCGATATTGAATACTCTGATCGAAGAAGAGGAAACAAAGGGTTGATATAGCAGCAGCAAAAAAAAGTGAACATTAATTTCGAAGTTGTGGAAAATTCACGAAGGCCTTTGTAACCGTCGTCAGAGGAGTTAATCATTGGCGACGTGCACCGGGCGAACCCATGTGATCACGCGTTTTTGCAGTGTTTCGTGGTGTAATGAGATCGCTCGAAACCCAATAAATAGAAATATGTGACAGACTGGTCCTTGGATTTCGGGAATTTGTCTACACTGTACTTGGACAGGGGACATCCCCTGGAAATTTCAGCTTCCTAGCTTTACTGGTTTCCGAATTAGCTATTTTCCCGCTAGAATTTATCAAATTCAGCTCCCGGGCGTGCGTGGTTCCCGTACGTGGGAATTTGATAAATTTTAGTTGTACGTGGACAAGGAACATTCTCTTAAAATTTCAGCTTTCTAGCTCCCCTGGACCCTAAGTCAGCGATTTTCCCGCCAGGAACCTTCATGGGGCCGTATTTGAGAGTGACGCATGTCTGGAAGCTGAATTTGAAATCTTTATGTTCTATTTGGACGGAGAACTTAACTGCAAAGTCTCAGCTTTTTACCTTTTCTGCCTGCCGGGTTAGCGACTTTCCCGCCAAAACTTTGAGGGGCTCGTATGCGGGGCCTAGACATGTCTGAGGGACAGTACTGCGGTTCTGGGGTGGTGGTTGGTCGAGGGACCCACTGGCAAAATTTTGGCGCCGGAGCTTGCTTGGATGCCGAGTTGGAACACCCGGACAGACGCGCGCGCACACACACACACACATACACACCGGGATTGTCACAATATACGTTTTCGCATTTGCATATATGCAAAAGCGCATAAAAAGTAGCGAAACTAAAACTGTCTGGCCTGATGTTGTACAGTTTCAATGTTGCTCGTATATTTCGAGCACAGTTACGCATTTTTGTTGAGGAACTTGCATGAACACGCAAGCAGGCAAAAACGACCTCGATTCGGTGCTAGTTACGTCATCACGCGCGTCAATCAGTGAAAAAAGTAGGTCTTCGGTGATGTCCGGATATTTTTGGAGCAGTGATGCTATTTCCAACGGAAGCATGCTTTTATCACGAAGACTGATGAACTCCGCCATGGAATGCAAAACATTCGGTAAAGTCTCCATCTGCAACAAAATATTTCGGTGTCGTACATACTGGACAGTTGAAATTCCAAAATTGAATTAAGGCAGAGACCTCCTCACCATTCACCTCAAGCGGTGATAACAGAGGATCAAATGTCCTCATTATTGCTGCAGCATCGTTTTTAAGGCGCTTTGCAACGGCGCATCGCTTGTGGAATTCCGTGCAAGTAATTTTCCTGTAATTTTAAATATTCACGGACGGTGGTTAAGCGATAGTACAGAAAAGAGGGTGTGCGGACCTGCTCGCAATGGCGTTTAAGTATTCTGCAACAATCCTAAGTTCGATACACCGAAGCACTTCGATATGCACTGCTCGCCTCAGATGCCTGTAATCGCTTTCGTAATCTCTAACTGTCTCACAAATCGTTCCAGCAGCGTTTGATTCCCCTTTGACCCTAGAAAACAGATTGCATAGTAGCTGTGTTGAAAACTGACCGCACAGACTGATGCTGCGCAGGGTAACGAGGCTGCTGTTATAGGACTTTTGTACTCCGACAAATGCAAAAGAAAAATTCTTCATAAACAAAACTGGCTGTATACCACTGTTTACTGAACAGTTGGTCGAAATACATGGCAAGATCATTATAAACTTCATCGCAAAGCATGCTTATCCTGAAAAATTTCATATATGTATGTATCATGAAGACTATCCTCCCCCCGTTTCCCCCATGCCGCTTGCGCAATAACTTTTGTGATAAGTTGCAGAGATTTTTGCATGGGACGGGACAGCAGCGAAAAAGCAGTTTCCGTAAAACTTCTTCGTTGGAGAAATTTCTTTTGTGACTTCCACTACAATGCCTATTAAGACAAAGTCTGTGTGCATATAGAAGTGCAAGCACCATGTGGGCGGTAAGAGTGTGGTCATAGTTGTGTAAAATAACAAAACCAAAAATAAAGAGCCAGCCAGGCCCGGAGTCGCTTTTAAGTTAAATTTGATGTGTTAAAAAATCTGAAAATAAACTTGATTATTAAAAATTTTGAGAATCGACTGAAGCCATAATGTGAGCTAAAAAATGCTAAATCCATAAAGTAACGATAAAAGATAGCGAATTTGGTCCAGAACCTCCAACTTTCTGAGCTGGTCTCATTAGTGACATGCATTCGCCAGACTGCATTTTAACAGTGCTTCGTGGGTCGGGCCCCAGGCACCTGCTTATTTTCTGAAAATGAGGGGTATTTTGGCACGAACTGAAGATTTCGAGCTTCGTTATTATAGCGAACAAAGTACTCCATTTTGAGACTAAGAATATGAAGTG